AGGGGCGGATCTCGCGTACCCGACCAAGTGATCGCGACGACAATCATACGCAGCAGCACCAGCACCGCCACCAGTACCAGTGCCAGCCGCAGCGCGGGTACCACCACCGCGGTCGGTACAGCAGCAGCAGCAGCAGCACCACCACCACCGGCGGCACCGGTCACAGCACCACCGCCGTCGTCGGAACCGGAACGGCCGCGGCCGGCACAAGCACCGCGGGCGACCGCCGCAGACACCGGCCACACCAGCATCACCACCGCGGCCGCGGCAACGACCACAACGACGACGACGACGACGACGATGGCGTACGGCCCACTCGCTGTTGTCCGCGTCCCGCAATAGCCGCGCACTCCGCGGTCCAGCGATAAGCGTGTCGAGCGCCAATCGACGGCATCGCATCGGCGACGTTCCGCAACGCAACGCGACCCCGTAGTCCCGCAAACGGCAAAGTGGAGGGCAACTGCGGTGACCTGTTGAACATGAGTTCGTACTTCGCCAACTCGTACATGCCGTCCGACATGCGCAACGGCGGCGTCGTCGGTGGCGGCGGCGTCGTCGGCGGCGGCGGTGTCGTCGGCGGCGGAGGCGGTGGCGTCCTAGGCGGCGGTGGTGGCGGCGGCTTGGTCGGCGGAGGCGGCGTGGTCATGGACCACCATCACCACGGCCAGCAGCACTACGTGGACAACGCGCCGTGCGACCCGACCGCGCGCGAGGGCATCCCTCCGCATCACTACGTCGGGCCCACCGCGGGCGGACAGCCGCCCCAGGGTATGCCGTACCCGCGGTTCCCGCCCTACGACCGGATGGAGATCCGGCAGGCGGCCGCAGCGGCCGGCTACTACAACAACCACCACCAGTCGTCAATGGACGGCTACAGCCGGCCCGACTCGCCCATCGGCGTGAGCGGCAGCGGTGGCGGTGGCGGTGGCGGCATGGGCCAGATGACCATGAACGGTCACCGGCCCGTCGTGTACGCCACATGCAAGCTCCAGGCATCCGTAGCCAACGGCCTGGTCGAGCCGGCCAGCCCTACCGACATGGTCGACATGACCAATCATCACCAGCAGCAGCAGCAGCAGCAGCAGATGACGGCCGCCGGCCACCACCATCACCAGCAGCAGCACCACCACGGGGCCCCGCCGCCCCAGTCGCACCACCAGCAGCAGCAGCAGCAACAGGCTTACTTCAGCAACCTGAGCCCGCACCACCATCAGCAGCAGCAGCAGCAGCAACAGTCCGTTCCGTCGGCGCCCGGCCACCACAATCAGGTGGTGGTCAACCCGCACCAGCAGACGCCGCCGTTGCAGACGCCCACCGCGCAGAACCAACAGGTGGTCAACAACAACTCGCTGCCGAGTCCACTGTACCCGTGGATGAGAAGTCAATTCGGTAAGTTCTAAAACTTTGCAACACGTACCCCGTACCATTTGCCCTAGGGTGTTTCCCACCCAAAGCTCCGCATTTTTTGTACCCTTTCACGTTTTTCCGTCCCCGATAAACACCCCGGTTCAGTCATATTCGTGTACGGTTTCGACCGTTTGAACGATTTGTCCATTCTCACGTGTACGCAGGTACTTCTAACCGTTTCTCCGTCCGAGTGCTGCTCTCTGCTGAAAACGCACGTTTGTCGTTCGATTACGTCCCGTTTTGTGTGGAATTTCTTAATCATACATTTTTATGTTGTACCGTTTTGTGGAATGCGCCTGTTTCTAACACGACTCACGCTACATCATGAGTGTAGATGTTTTTTTTTCGTTTTCTGAGTTTTTTTTTTTTTTTTAGTTTTTTCGTTTTAACCGTTTACGAGCTGTATTTCAATTATTTTTATTTTCGGCATGCGTTTAGTATTGCCTCAATCATAACGATAATAATAACAATAACATGGCGTGTCTTACGCGCATTTAGGTTTTATTTTCCAATACACACCGAATTCCGTACACGGTTCTGGAAACACACGCACACACATTATTCGTATCGGGTACGATACGCAGCTCTGGTACGAATACGGTAGTGACCGCCGGGGGTCTTCTCCCAGGTGTAATCTTTTTTTGTCGGCTTCACTCTGTCGAATAAATCATATAAAAAATTACGACGTTCAATCTCCACCACAATAGCGTTCGTTACGTATCGATGAAACCTTTTTTTTTTTTTTATCTGATTCCATACATCTCTATAATATTGCCGTTTCACAGAATCAGTCGTCTGTTTCGTTTGTGTGCATTATATATACTCGTCGTAGGTACGTATGCCCTGCGTACGGGTACCTGTCGCAGTGCAATCAGTCAAATCATTTCACCGCACGTATCTTTGCGGGTAGTCTTTTTCGTCCGATACAAATAATTCTTCGAACGTCTTCAATTCCCTTGAATAGTCTAACACAAGTCATATTTATTACTCGAACACGTTACGTCTTTATACTAGTACAGACTTCGACCGACCTACTCGTGCCCTTAGAAGTGTTCTCCAGATGATCGAATACATATGGCGTGTTGGCAACGGAATGTCTATCTTGACGGATCTTTTATCTAAACGGTTCTCGTTGAAATTTTTAAAACGAAAAAAACACAAATCTGTTTCACGTATTATTGATTTTATCAAATCGAAACGATTAAATGAATACAGCACGTTGTTATTTCCGTAAATTAATATTTTCGGTGTTATTTCGTTCGTCCATCGATCCAAGTTGCCTTATATACTGTAGTATATAAGGCATATATATACCATAGGTATGTATGTGGCTTTTGTTAGTGCGCGTGCGAGACTTTGTCCGAATTTTCGTTGTATTTTATGTAAAGCGGATTTTGACATTTTCTAACCAAGAAAACTCCGTTCGGGGTGGACATTATTGTGGTACGAGATTTTTTTTTCTTCTCTTCCTGTTCGTTATGTCGCTCAGTGGGTACGGTTAATGTACCGTGAAATGTATTGCTTCCCCGACGGTCGTCGGAAGGGGCGCGCTCGCTCGGTCCCGCGCCCAGCAGTCGCTTTCACAGAAACCATGGGGGTGACCCGGTGATGCATAGAGAAGGGAAAAAAAGGAAAAGAAGAAGCAGCCGAACCAACGATCCGGAATTCCTTTTCTTGCCCAAATAATAATAATAATAATAATAATAATAAATATACTCCGGACGCACTACTCTAAGAGTGTCCGCGGATAAAGGGTATGGAGACAGCATACTTTTGCACGAGGATTTAGTTCTTTTCTGAGACGACCACGTGCGGACCAGCTCCGTTTTTAGCACACGCGTTTTCCGCCACTGCGCGAACTCGCGCAGCAATTGCATTGTATTACAGGACGACAGTGGCGGTGGTTAGGTGTACAATCATAAATTACGCTCAACAAGTGTCCCTTAACCCTCTTCTTCTCGTCCCGCGCTCATATACACACGCCCGTGTATACGTACCATTTCGCGACCTTGTCTTAAAAGCCCATTTAAAAATAATTTGTTTATTATTCCGGATTTTTCAAGACGAAACTTTCAGTTGTCGGCGTATCGTCGTTTCTGCTTTCCTTTCGAACCGTTTTCGCAGTGAAAACTACACTCGTTCGTGTATATATGTATGTGTATGTGCGTGTGCATGCGATAGAGAGATGTGATAAAATAATAAAAATAAAATCGTTGGAATGTCGTCATTACTATGTCACAGAATTGGTTTCAATTGATCCCTCGCCCCACGTGTACGGCCGTCTGCGACTCTTATGCATATTCATTGTACAATTCACGCGGCCCGCGCAAGTGCCACTCTCAATTGACTCGTACTTGATTAATTACAACTTTTGTAACGCGCGTATCGTATACAGTACAAAGAGGACACGCGTCGAGCTATCGTTGGGATCGTATTTTTTGTTTTTAATTATTCAACGGACCGATAGTATCTGCATCATGCGTGTGGATGTTACAAAACAAAAAGTACAATAAAATAACAATACTATATAGGTGCGACTGTTACAATATTTCATCATCGTTATTACTATTAGGTGTCCATAAAATTCATGCTTCCATCATTAGACAAAGACGGTATTTGTATTCGTATTTTAGTAGAAATCGTTTATTACGATATTCAATGGACGAATAAAAATTGGTTGTAATAACGGATTGTCACTATCACCTAACTAAAATGTAAAAAATAAAACTAAAAATATCGATTATACATTTATATGAATATTTATGTTTTATTTTACTACAATTACTACATATTTTTTCTACTAAATCGTAACTTTAATATATACAGAAAAAAATAAATATTAACAATTTTTTAACTATTTGATTATTATTTTATAATTAAAATTACAATATTATATGAAAAAAAAAAATTTCTTTTATTAGTCTGATCGTCATACCCATTTATTTGTATTTTTTTTTAATTTTCAAAATTTTTTTAAAGTTACGTTAATCAGAGCCGTGTAATTTGTTAAAATTATCGATTCTAGTAGTACCCCTTCGATACATTTAATAAAGTCATCATAAATATAATATTTTTACAGTATACCCAAAAATAATCATCATAACATCCGTGTAGTCAAAATAATCGATACAAATTAGTGCATACAATATAGGGACATTCAATTTAAGGTCATTACACTGATACGTCACTATAACCGATGTCGTTATAAACGGTTTCTACTGCATACAATATGTCTCGTATACAATCGTATTCACGTAGATATTTTTGAAATATTACAATTACGATTTTCACATTATTTATCTTTTATTATTATTTGTTTTATTTTTTATTTTATTTTACATGATTGCGGTAATTTTTACAGGTCCAGACTCAGGTACGGATGCATTTGCGGTATTTTGGTAATATTTAAACATTTGTAGCAATATTACACGGCAAACATTTTACTATTAAATTTTATTTCTTTTCTGCTCTTGTATTTTTTTCTTCCTATCGTATATGCGCATATTTTGCTCGCTTGACTCATTATTCTATTATTTCATCAGCTATATATATTTCTATTTATTTATATGCCTTAAAAAGTGGTTTAAATTAATTTTATGCTCTACTGCGGGTTTTGGCTGCACACATATTCCTTCTTTACTTAATCTTTGTATTTATATAGTTCGCATGTGACACTTAGTTTTAATTTTACAACCACTAAACGGTACATACGTACATAAATATTTTACTAATCGTACACACAAGAGTGGAAGCAAGTGCACTTGTTAACTGGTTGACTTTTGCACATCAATCGTTTATCACTTCGTAGTTAAGATTTATACAAACATTTTTACGCATTCAGCCTTTATTCTATAAAAATTTTACGTACATTGACTACTAAACGGAAATCTAATTGGCCGTGTTAGTTAGGTCGCGATCGATATTTTTGATCATATGATTTTAAAGAAAGCATTTTAATATTTTTAAATTGTTTTGTTTCAATGATCACTCATAAACCAGTCAACCGATTATTCTGCATGAGTTGTGTTTTTCAATGTGTAATTATATTTAATGTTATTGTTTGACGTGAACACGAGACATGTTAATATATGATGTCAGATTAATCGTTAAAAAAAAAAAAGTATAATATTTAAACGGTATTTTGGTTGAAGAAATTGATGTTACAAAAATTATAAGAAACGTCTAATTTATACACCGATAACGCTGTTAAAATGCTAAAATAATATAACTACAAAACCATTCTACTGTACTGTTTAACGGTTATGTTATAATTATTTCATAAACAGTCTTAATCATCGCTCATCATTATTACATTATCAGTAAAAGCAATTTTAAAGTTCTTCATAAGACCCACAATACTGCCACGTTAAGGATTTGCATGTATTATAAAATCCATGACGGTATTTTGTAAACGAAATATGGTTATTTTAACCGTATACGACGCCTACTGTTTGAGGTTTATTATAAAAAAAACAAAAAAAAAGAAGAAAAAAATGGTTTAACGATAAATAATGAGATGTTTTAATTAGTAAAAAAAAAAAAAAAAAAAAAAAAAAAAAAACGAAACTAAACCAAAGCATGTGAATCACGATTTAAAGCAGACAATGGAGTGTAATTACTTTTATCTAGAACCGCGTGATGCATAAGGTGATTTATTAATTTCGGGGTGAATTCGCCAAGTTCATAATTAGCGAGCCCCGCAGTAAATATTTTACCACTAATGGAAGTCTGGTCTCCAATTAGCCCGAATTAAAGCGCGATGCACCGTTTTAAAGCTCGTAACGCGTTTCGTTTGGGATACAATTAGTTGCACACCGTACACAGGGTACCGCACAGGACCCGTATGCTGTGGTATCCCTGTGCACACACGTGTACGGTTATCGTTATGATGTACGCGAACACTGATCGGGCCACGGAAAACGCGAGCTCTGATCGAAAGCTCTTGGCGTGGATCGTTCGATCGACTTCGCGCGCTGCGGTTCATTGCGTATGGATATCGAAAGTATTCCAATATGAACGCAATATTTCCTACGCCTTCTTTCGGGTGCAGTGTCGCACTTTGCGGAGGTCCGCGGTCAAAAAACGGTGGTGAGTGGCGGCCGTCGCAAAAACGCGTTCGTACCGGTTGCGTCTACTCGCCGTGCGACGTCTGCTGCGATTAATCGCTTCTAATTCGTTTCGTTTTTACGGTTTTTTTATTAATTTTTATTTTTTTACTCTCACTTCTCTCTATTATTTTTTTCCGCTCACCGTAGTGTACATCAAAAGAAACGCTCGCGTCGGATGATCCGTCAAAGTGACGCGGGGCCAGACTACATAATAATAATATATACAGTCGGGGCCGCGAGGTGTACCTACACGTTCTTAACGGCCGTCCACGGAAGACCAACACTGTTGGCTTTTTTTTTTTAATTTTTAATTTTTTTCCTCTCCGTTTTGGCAAACGTGTGCGTGAGCCTTGCGTATCCGACCAACGTTTGAAATTTTAAATTGTTTTAGGCGGGGCGCGAATATTTCGCGGGTGCGCGCGACCGATGCCAAAACGTTCTATTTTCATCGTATCGAACGGAAACCGTTTCTCGAGCTGAAGGGACCGAGCGTGATGCTCGACCACCCACGACGCAACGGTATATTCTCCGGCGTAATTATCTGTGTACGTCAGGACCGGCGAAAGGCTACGAAAGCGATGCTCGAGGTCCTAGTTCCGAATCAAAAAAAGTTAAACATAAAACAAAACCCGGGGGTATGGGTGTATTGTCACTATTCAATACTCCTATATTTTTGCTCGGAGAATATGTAAGACTCTAGAATACTTTGCCTGGAACCCAGTAAAATCTAACGCCGGTCGTGCCGTACACGTTTATTGTTATTATACCATCACCGCTATCGTGTACGGGCAAGTGTCGTCATGTCGCATGTTCGCGTGATTTAAAATATTTATTATTATCATTATTATTATTTAACCAACGCTTATGTTATATGTGCGTAACGACGGCGGCGGCGGGTTTGGTTTTTGGCTCAGCTGGCGCACAGATTATATTATTACTGTGCGTACAGTTGTCGCGACGACGCGGGAGCGGGTGACTAGCTGAGGGTACGTATATGTATAGGGGACGGATCGAGCGTATAGCACGACGTAGATGGGGGAAACCGTTGGCGGAGGAGAAGGGGATCCGGACATAAATCATAAATGTCCCACTGATCTACAGATTAAGCCGCGACGTCACGGTCCTCGGAATTATCGCTTATACGCACGCACGTATACACACATTCACACACACACACACACACACACACACACACACACACACACACACACAAACATATATACTCGTGTATGTATACATGCACATCGGAGAAAGAAACTCGAAAGAACGCGTTGTGTCGTATATATGTATATGGTATACATATGTGTGTTTTCGTGATTTCTCTTGCGCATAGTCCCTTCGGGAGAGACGACTTGTACATTTGTATATGTGTACATTATATAGAGCGTTAGAGGGAAAAGTCCACGTCGACTATCTTAATAATGCACTCGTGTGTTTTTTCATTCTCTTACAATTAAACCATGTAATATCACAGTTATTATCGCTCGCGTGTACTGTATTGTCATTATTATTGCTATTTATGCATTTACTTTGTTCGCACAAAATTATCGTTGTACGGTTTGACTATATATAGTATACTCGTATGTATTACGTACAGCATTTAATGTTTCGTTTTAAGAAATAAGTATAAGGAATACTGTGTACTACAACGGAGCTTTAGATAACCAACGTTAAATAAATTATCACCAATTCATTACCGTCGAAGTTAAATTTCAAATCAAAGCAAATTCCTATTTGTTTAATAATGCGTATTTCTATAAAAACGTCCTCGTTAACAGCATTTTTAACGTATTTTGTGACATTATTATCCAATCGTAGAATAACTTAAAATCAATCACAAAAAGAAAGAATAATTCATGTTCCGCTGGAATAAAATGTTTCCTCGATATTCGGAAAGCACGGTTACATAAATCGGGTTACGTTTAACGTACCAACCCCTTATTTTGCATTTTAATAACATTATATAACTTCATAATCTTTATCCGTGGTGGATTCAAAACTCAATTTTCACGATAAAATGTCGTTTTTATCATATTCATTTGAAAACCGTACGGGCTTTCGCATGATCGCCGATACCCCTTTCCTCCGGCCGTCATAAATCGGTGTTTGAATGTAACGTCTCGTGTCGTAAGACAGTACGCGATTGCGTTTTTGCCTTCTCCGTTCTCCGGTACTCTGTACGTGCACGTGAAAACCGATGCGACGCGAGATCCGGATCGCCCTGTATGCGTGCATCACACGACCCCTCGTCTGCACGCCACGTCGTGCGTACGTGTCCCTTTTCAAAATGGTCGGCATCTGCGGTGATGTCGGCGGCGCGCGGTGTGTCGGACACGATGCCGCGGCGGGCGGGTTGGCGAGGGGGACAATCCGTCATTTTGGGTTCGCCGCCATGAGGGTGGTTGGCGGCGGCGGCGGCGGGTTCTCCGAGTTAATTAACTTTGTGCGCTCTGCGCGACCGAAAGCGCGCGCCGCGTGCCCGTGTATATGCGCGTCGTAATTAATATTTGCCTCCGCGCCCGACAGACGGACGGACGGATGGACGCGTCGCCGCCGGGTACACGCGAACGCTCTTTTCCCGAATACAAAACCACACGCAGCAACGTCTAAAAATACGATACGGTTGTTATTTTTCTTTCCCCTCGTCCTCTTTTTTTTTTTTTTTTTTCGATTAATTTTCCCTTCCTCGCGAACGTACCGCTGGGGTTCACCTACTACGCGTATACGTATTTACACGTGCATAGAAACGCGCGTGCGGAATAGGTACCTATACACACAGATACGATCGTACAATGTACAATACGGTTTTTAATCGGATGTAAAACGGGCGGGGCGCGTACTATGATGCAAAAGGAACGCAAAACGAACACCAAAAATTCGTAAGGAGGGGGAGGGTGGGGGCGACGATATGTGCGCTCGATCTCCTACGCCCGGTCGCGGTCTCCGAGACGTTCTCGTAGGTAAAATAAAAACTATATTCTTTTAACGGTCTACGGGGCGCGTTCAACGGAATCGTCCGGTCGTCAGATACGTACGAAATCACGGTCAAGTAATAGGCACGAAAACGCTGCCGCAACGGCTTTGAACCGATTGGGCGGCTCTCGGAGTGCAGGTGAAAAGAAAACGACGACCGCGCGGGGCACGACCGTTCTTGTACGAGTCTCTCGCGACGCCGTTCGGAAAACTTTGCGCTCGGATTTACTACTCCCGCGGGGCCGTGTCGCGGCGTTTTTTTTCCCCCGTTCGACGTCAATCTCCTCCGGTC